AATAATGAATAACTTCATGGTGGCCCCATCAAATGTCTGTGGAAGACCACGGCTGACTACTAAGAGAGCCTCGATTAGCTTGTTATGGAGGCTGGAGCGTGTCTAACTAGGTACCTACTACTTTAGGCCATGTTCGGAGTAGTTGTCTGTTTGAAGTGTTTGTCGTGGTGATAATACCAGCAGCCAGATGGAGACATCAAGGGCTAGCTATGTAGATAGGTAGGTACATAAGTACGATAATGTACTGGGTCAAGATGCTCTAAAATGGGGGTATAATGTCGGTAGTGGACATGAGCGTGAACACAGAGGTGAACTTGACTGACTCAAGAATGGGAGTCTAGGTCTCCCATGCAGATGGATGTAGAATTGAAGCATAAGCTGAATAAATAGGTATTAGACTCGTTTAGGTAGGTCTGGTAGGTTACAGATGATAAGTTGGACCCATACCCAAACCTCAGACTTGGAAATTGGTTGGAATGCTTTTCCCACTGACTAGTTGAGGTACTTAAAGGGAAGGCTAACTCCTGAAGATGGCTCCTATCTGAGTTCCCAACGTTCTAGGTTACCACTTCCCTTTTCGTATGATCTAGATTCCTTGACGGATAGGTGCCGACATCAATGACGTGTTGGAATTTCCTATAACGTCCAATGGGTTATGGAAGTTCTTACCATTTGAAGTAAGTACTAAGTACTTACTTAAGGTACAGATGGTTATATAGGTAGTAAGTTTCACAAGTTTAACATAGCCCCCCCCTCAATACATTACCTACGTACCCCATAATGGAGAGAAAGGCTAACATTTCTCTCTAATGCCACCTCTCTTCTCGTGGAAACAGCTCCTGTGCGGAAACCTCATCCTAAACTACTACACTGCAGATTTCACCAGTAATAACTGCAGACCAATAACCTCAAATAACCAAGACACCAGTCAGCCTTCGTCCCACCGTCACCATGGCAGCCCTATGGGTAACCATCATCAAAAGTGCAGCAATATTTTTCAGTATTTTCAAAGTACATTTCTCGCTATTGGCTTTTGTGTACTGCTCTCTATGGTCTTATATTTCTTTGGACGACGAAGGTTATCATGTGGCATTTGCAAACCACTGAAGGAAGCGGATTTGGTGTCCTGGTTGATGCCACAGGACACACGTTGCAAGCCTCCACCATACATGTACCTTCCTACCCACCGCAACACTCATGTTTATGGGCCTGATCTTGTGTACGACTCCCTTCCTAATCACTACGACCTTCCTATGTATGAGCCTGTTCCGATGGATGACCCCGCTCCCGCCAACGAGAACTATCCAAACGCCAAGTAGCTTGCAGGCAATTATTGACAGCACCTGCTCCCTCCCCGGAAGAAATATTGAGTCAGCAGTCTAGAACGACCTGGCCAATGGTGGATTTGATGAGTCCTATATCTTGCCCAACTATGGTTGGTGTACGTGACCCGAGGTATTGCGTATATGGAGCATACTGAGAAAGAACGGAGTCCAAATGGGCGCTGAACATGGCAATATGTCCAGTAACTACAGCAAAGCCGGCGCTTGAGAAAGCTAACGGAAGGAGGAAATGATTAGAAAATACCCAAGAACACGTAACATAGCCCCTAACTGCCCCCCTTCCTCCTTCGCTGCAACTCGAGGCACACAGTGCCTCGTTGGACTCACCATGGTCTTAGAAACAGTCTATTCGAGGCAACACTTCGGGAAATGCAGAAAGTGTAGCTTATAGTTACTTCTAGCTGTCTGCCAGGAGTTGGCGCAGGCGGCGGCACCAGAGTTTCCTGTACCGGGCTCTTACTACTACCACCTACTTGGAAGAACCCACCCCACACCCCCTTTTTTTCTAGTTCTCAGGCCTTATACCACTCAGAATTGGGAAACCCGCATACGCAGACAAATTTTATAGAGTTGGTGAAGTCCCGGTTTCCACACGATGGCCGTGAAAATGGTGATGAAATTTGACAGTCTGGGGTCCCAAATGCGAGGCTTAGGTAGAGAAACGCTGTGGATAGGGATTGGAATAGTGGCAAATGTATGTTCGGTCCTTATAGGTGCGAGTATCAGGAGCATATGACGACGTTTAATCTATGAACCCAAGCGTGACTGCAGCAACCCAAGTGTAATCCGCCTATATATGCCTCGCCCGTCTAGTCTTTTCTACAACGACGAAGCACAATCCACGATAACAGGACACATCGCAGGACCATCCCCTCGGACGCAACGGGAGCGAGTCCCATGATCCCGCCCCCCGGCCCCGGCCTCTACGCCCGATCCGGCATCCCCCTGAACGGGTTATTCGGGTCGGCGCGCTCCTGCTCGACAGTGGGCAGGGTCCTGACGACGCGGGCGGGGGCGCCGAGGGCGACGGAGTACGGGGGCAGGCTCTTGGTGACGACGGCGGCGGCGCCGACGGTGCACCCGCGGCCGATGGTGACGCCGGGCAGGACGACGGCGCCGCCGCCGATCCAGCAGTCGTCCTCGATGCGCACGGCGTGGCCGAACTCGACGAACTTGATGCGCGACAGCGCGCTGGTCTCGTGGCCCGCCGTGTAGATGCTCACGTTGGGCCCCATCTGGACCCGGTCGCCGATGATCACCAGGCTGGTGTCTAGGATGGTGAGGCTAGCATGGGGGGGGAGGGGGGAGGTGAAATTGGTTGTTAGGGAGTTGATGTCGTAGGGGATTGGAAGGGGAGGGGGGATAATAGTGGAGGTGCTTACTTGAAGTTCATGAAGCAGTTCTCGCCGATGATGATGTTGCTCCCGTAGTCGGGCAGGAACGGCGGCTCGATGACGGTGCCTTTGCCGACGCGGCCGAGCATCTCGGCGAGGATCTTGGTCTGGATCTCGGAGATCTCGTCCATGGTGCCGCTGTTGGGGTCGACATTGTTGTACTTGTGGGTGAGACACCGGGCTCTGTGCCGGCCCTCCATCAGTGTCCGCTGGAGTGGATCGTATCTGCAGATTTGTAAGAATTCGATCGATTGTGCTCCCGGTGGGATGTGGCAATCCTTTTGTGGAAAAGATGGAGACTTGGCTTACAGCATGCCGGATATCATCTTCTCATATTCGTCGCAATAGGGGATTCCCTTAAGAGTCTTCGCAAGAGCAATGAGGTCCTCATCTTTCTGTTGCTTAGCCATGGCAATATTTAAGATCGGAATACGCTAATCTTGAATGCGGATACAATAAATATCGTCCACTACCACTCAACTGACGAATACGAAATGTATGTGACTTGGAAATAATTTCTAGCAATAGGTCATGCGAGTGTACCTAGGTACCTATGTAGGTAGGTGTATAGTAGTATCTGGGCAGCTATCTCTTAGTAGTTGTGTATAAGGCCTGAGACAGTACCGATATAACCCTATATCCAGATTATTGGTAATCTCGAAATCAAGATCGACCACTAATATCCTGTCAATAGTTCCACTAGAACTGAAAGCAAGGCAAATAAATGCAACTTTCAACACGTGGGATCGTTGCACCAGTCCACATAAACTGCTCTAACTTATACCACTAAACTAACATGATAGCGCTAAGTATGAAGAATACCCGAAACCTCCGTTCCTGTTAAGCTGACCCGTGATACTACCTATTAATAAAAAAGGAATGTGTGCTTCAATATGTCCTGTCTTAGGTCTTCAAGAAATATAGTGTTACATGTAAGCTACAGCAGATAACACATTGTGAATCAATACAAGGAAAGCCTCCATTAAGTAGTACTGTCAAGGCTTAAAAGGAGATACTGTCCGCTAATTCATTACTTGAATAAAGGTTAAGGTCGTCATGTATAACGTTAACTCTGTATATAAAACCTCCAGCTACATTCCTCCTCTTTGTGTTTTCATGTTATGTCTTGAAATGTACCAGACATTATATATTAATCCCGTCCAGAACCCATCAAAGTTCACTTTACTTCTCCAGGCCATCCTTGCCATTGAGAATTTGTCCGACTTGTAATCCATACAATATTCCCAATGCTTACATGCAAATTGAACCATAATCCAAGAGAAACATATATAGCCAATTCACCAATACATGCAATAACAAAGAACCTCCAGTGTCTTCTGCCTGTCCAAGAACCATAATTCATGAACAATGGTGCGTCCACTGTATGTGCATGTGCCTACTACCTAGGTAAACCGACCTACACTACATGAATAACCTGAAATGAGGTATGATAGTATGGGGTGTATTAGGAGGTTGTAAGAATGATTGTCTCTCTAAGGATTACAGGCCTCCAGCCCTGAATTTAAGGGTGTTACGGTGGCCCATAGCGAACACTGTTGCAAAGCTCCAAAATCTACCACACATACACTAAAACCCACTACACAAACACATTAAAACCCACTAAATATACACCATATCGAAATAAAGCCACCCTCTAACACCTACTCCCTTTAACACCTACTCCCTCTAATACTTACTCCTTTTAACACTTACTTACTGCACTAAGTACATAACTTATTAATGCATTATTTATGTACGTAAGTAAAAAAATATATATATACTGCAAATAATAATAATAAGTTATGTACCTAGTGCAGTAAGTAAGTGTTAAAAAAAGTAAGTGCAGGTGTTGAAAAGAGTACCTAGGTGTTAAGAGTATGGTGTGTGTGTAGTGGGTTTTAGAGCTTGCAACAGTGTTCGCTATGGGCCACCGTAGGTGTACGCCTGTACCACCCCACAAACCCATACCCACCTAACCTAAAAACCCCTCCAACCTACCTAAACCAATCCCATCCCCCCCCCCCCCTCTCCTCCCCTCCCACTACCTACCTACACCACACACACTACCTACCTACATAAACCCCAACAAAACCACCCCTTCCATCCCCTCCTCCCAATACAACAACATAGCCCGCTCGAGCACACCCCGCTCCCGCAGCTAAGTTGTACTGGAGTTGAATCTAGTAGCCGGGTCGGCGACGACAAGCCTACCTATCTTAGGTACTACAAGAAAAGATTCTCAAACCAAATAAAAACAAACATGGGCGTGGTGGTCTAGTGGTATGATTCTCGCTTAGGGTAGCACCCTATGCCTAAAAGCAAGCTTGCGAGAGGTCCCGGGTTCAATCCCCGGCCAGGCCCTTTAACTTTGATTTTTTTTTATTACCTTTTCTTATCCCTAAAGAGATGAGATAATGATGAGCCTCTTTTATTTTTTTTATTTTTGGCGGTACTATTTATCTATCATACTTAAAGTAGGACTAAGTCTTTGTAGCTTGTGATACTGTTGATCGTGATTATATAATTTTATGCTCTAATCTGTAAGTGTATTCTAATGCCTATATCCGTCTGGACCTCCCCCACCCTCAGTCATCATCGTCGTCGTCATCCCCACCCATAAACTGGAACTGCTTTTTCTCGCCCACAGGCGAGCTGCTCGGCGGCGGCACCCCGCCGCTGGGCCCCGCGCCTGCAGCGGTATTGAGCCCCATGCTGAGGCTGGCACGGCGCCACCCCTCGGCCTCTTCCTTCTCGCGGGCGCGCTCGCGCTCGGCACGCAGGCGGGCGTGCTCCTCGCGCAAGCGGCGCTCTCTATCCTCGCGTTCGGCGCGCTCGCGTTCCTCCAGGGCGCGGCGCTCTTCCTCCTCGCGCTCGCGGCGGGCCTTCTCCTCCTCGGGGTCGTAGTTCTCGGCGTCGATGCCCTGCTCGGCGATGAAGGCGAGGGAGGCGATGGCGCCCTTGCGCACCTGCTCCTCGCTCGGCCACGACACGAACTCGACGCCCGTGTGCGGGTTCAGGTGTGCGTTCAGGTGCTCCGGCAGGGTCGTGCTGGTCGTCGCCGTCTGCTGGGACGCGTCGAACGACTGCCCCCCGGCCCCGTTGGTGGTCGCGGCCGGGGTGGCGCTCGCCGTTTGCGGTTGCGTGCCGTTGGGCGTCTCGCCGGGCGTGGTGGCGGCTGTCTCGGTGCCCCCGTTCTCGACCTTCAGCTGCTGCGAGTCCGGTGCCGAGGACGGGATGCTGTTAACGGCCCCTGCGGGCGGAATGGTCGTCTTGCTTATCCTACGGGCATAGGTCAGCAGTTCGCCGTAATTGATCGCGTGGCTCGTGCCCTCGGGGAATACGGTGGCAGGCGTGCTGATTAGCTCCTTGCGCGTGTTGGCGAGCAGTTGCAGCGTGTACTTGATCTGGCCATCGAGGCTGGTTGTAGCAGCGCGGAGCTCCTGGATGCGGCGGTAGTTGGACTGGTGGGTTTGCACTAGATCTGTAGTCAGTATCTCCTTCGCGTGTGAGATGATTGCCTTTGCTAGTAAAGGCTGGGCTGGGCTGGACTGGGTGATCTGGTGGTATGGTTTGGTATGGTATGGCGGTGCTCACGGTCTTGCAGGCTCTTACTGAGCTCCTCGTCCACCTTTTCCAGCTCGATGACTTGGTTCGTTGAGGGGTTGTATTTAGCAATTGAGTCAATTAATGTGCCCAAGGCCTTTTCGACGCGGTCGAAGCAATTGTCGATTTGTTTGTCCATTTCAATCAGTATTATTACCAAATGTGGTGGAGCTGCTGCTAAACGTAAGTATGTTTAGATGGTGACGGCGATGGTGATAGGAAGAGTGTAAGTTTGCTACTAGGTAAGCCGTTCTTGGGATTTGTGGGAATTCTTGGGGGACCTAGCTTGAACCTCTGCAAGCTTGTGTGGGGCATCTCCCACCTTCTATATGTATGTACCTTAGGTATACCTACTACCTAGGTACTTAGGTAATCCTCTTGGAACCTTAATGTCTGACTGTGGCTGTCGTCATTTCTGTGGCTGGTGCATCCGGCTTTCTCCGAGGTTCCAAACCTTAAAGAATGTCGCGCAGCTTTGCACCACCACCAGGGCTCTCGAACAATAGGAAGCCGTCATTTAATAAGTCAACCTGCTTATAACCTAAGCACTTCCACCTCCCAATTGCGACACTCACCCTCACTCTCACTCTCGCTCTCACTCTCTGCAACCCCAAGTCAACATGGTCTTCCAGGTACGTGATTATAGCTTATTTCGTCTCAAACTTGGAGGTGAATCATGGAGGAAAGAAACAGAGAGAGAGAGAAAGAGAGAGAGGTCTTGCTAACTGAATCCTATTTACTTCATGCCAGACTCCCATTCGACGGGTCGACTACCCGACCTACAAGAGCCCCTACGGCCCGAAGTGAGTGCGCACCGAATATTTCGCTACAGTGGAGAGGACAGGAACTCTGATGGGTGGTGGTGGTGGTGGGTGGTTGGTTGGTGGTGGGGGGAGGGAGCGCAGAGCAGACACATCTCGAGAACTGGGGTAGCGATCCGGCTGACGACGAATGCGAAACAGGTACCACTACCAGCCCAATATCGCCGGGTGGACTATGAAGCAGATTACCGGACTGTAAGAAGCCCAGCCTCCGTTTCCGTTTCCGAACCCGAACTTCTCCTTCCTAAGCTCTCAATCTACAATATTTATAATCAGCCGGCGATGGCCTACCTACTAGATAAGATGCGCCGTTACTTGCTTCCGAAGCTTAGGGGTTATTGTACTAGAGACAGAGGGGGGGGGAGACGTCGATTTTCGGATTGTTGCTAATAATATTATTGCTCGCAGTGGTCTCAAGACCGGTGCCTTCGGCGGTGTTGCTCTCTTCGCCGTCATCTTCTACGCATCCGGTATTCCCAGAGTACAGAGGGATATCCTCCAGAAGGTTCCTTTCATCGGCAGTTACTTCATCAACGAGATCCCTGCATCGGACAACGTGAGTTCGAGAACGATTCTCCTAGAAGCTCCCGCCTTACTAACTGTCTATGCACATAGCCATACTAAGCTACGCCTACGAAGAATTGGAGGTGTATTTTTTCTTGGGAGGCGGACAGAAAAGGGGGTCATCGCAAATATAGCGGGCGTGTAAGACAAACCCTGTACACAGTAAAAAAAAAGACACTACCAATAGAGATTTCATTGATCATACAATGCTGCTCTCTCTCGCTGTCTTCTTCGACTGAACAGAGGAGGCTTTACTTCTGAAACCGGACATATGCCACCTCATCTTATCTATTGTCTATTTTCTTCTCTTTTCTCCCCTTTTTTGGTGGTGGTACAGGGGCCCAATTTTAGGCCATTCGATGTTTTATTGATCGTCGTCTCATGCCCGCCCCTCTATTCCTTTCTTTCCGCTGAGATCCTCCTTCATCTCGCTCTTCATGCGCGTAATAGTCCCGGAACCACCGTAGACAAGACTAGTGTACACCATGGCGATGCTCGCGCCGGCGTTCAGCACCTCCAGTGCCTGTTTCCCATTAGTAATGCCCCCTGTAGCAAAGATAGTCTTCTGCTCCTGCGGTTTCCTTTCACTCGGCCTGGCCTGAGATTTAATGCCCTCTTTGGGCGGGCCAGTAATTGTCCCATCCAGGGCTGCGATGCTTGTGTCGACAGCTTCGTCCGCTACCACCTTGTCCTCGACGGACTGTAGCGACCGGCCGTCCAGCATTTTCCTGTACCGCTTCACCAAGTCTACGGTGCGGTCGAACATCATCGGGCCGGAGTACCCACCCGTCTCCGTCATGGTCAGCTGCTCCGTCGCGGTCATGTTGACGCCTGGCGGAACCAGGCCCGTCCGTCGTTTCGTAGTATTCCCAACGATGACGCCGTCGACGCCGCTCGACCACACCGCCTGGACGATGCCGTCCATCTGAGTGTCTTCGTCCTCGTCCGGCGAGACCTTGACCATCACCTTAGGCTTCGTCTTCCTATCCGTCTTGCGAGCCTCGTCCACGACCGCGCTCAGGATCCGCGTCAGGGGCTCGACGGCCTGCAGGTCGCGCAGCCCGGGCGTGTTCGGACTGCTCACGTTGACGACCAGCACGTCGGCGTACCTGGCCAGCCGGCGGACGCAGTAGACGTAGTCCGCCTTGACGGCGTCCACGTCGCGCTCGTCCGTCTCCTTGTTCTTGGCGATCTGCACCAGCAGCAGGCGACCGGGCAGCAGGCTACCGGGGGGCACGCCGGCGGCGCCGTCCAGAACGTCGTCCTCGTGCAGGCCGACGCTGCGGGCGAACCGGCGCACGCGCTGCTGCAGGCGCATGGCCATGTTGTCGGCGCCGAGCGAGTTGAGCCCGTACCGGTTGATCAGGCCGTCGAGCGTGGGCAGGCGGAACATGCGCGGGCGCGGGTTGCCCTCCTGCGGCAGCGGGGTGCACCCGCCGACCTCGACCACGGCGGCGCCGAGCGCGAACAGCGCGTCCGGTATCTCGGCGTGCTTGTCCAGGCCCGCGGATATGCCGAGCGGGTTCGCCAGCTGCTCGCCGAAGACGGAGACGGATATGTCCGGGCCCGCGGCCGCGGCCGAGGGCGAGACCCGCTCGCGCGGGTGCAGGTTCACGCCGTACAGGACCTTGAGCGACTGCACGGCCGCGTCGTGGGCTTGCTCGGCGTCGGGGTAGACCACGCGCATGAGGCGGGGCACGATGTACCGGTGCACGAAGGCGCGCGTGTCGGTGCCGTAGACGTACGCCAGGCAGCCGGACACGGCCAGGGCGGTCGTGTAAAGGAGGGCTTTGGACGAGGCCGGAGCCGTGCCGGGGGACGAAGAAGAGGCCGCACGCTGTGAGATTTGGGGGAGAATCCGGCTGCGCACATTGCGGGACCGCACCACCGGACTTGCACCGCTCGACAAGAGGGTGCGGCGGAGGATTCTCTGTGAATACGCCATTTTGACGATGGTGTCGTGGGCTTGGTAGCCCTCAATGGCAGGCAGCTGAGGCGAGAATGTGGTGTTGTTGGTAAATGGAGGGGTGTGAGACGGGAGCTTGTGAGTCGTTTGCAAGCTTTGGAATTTCAGAATTGACGTAAAAGAAGCAGGGGGGGGGGGCCCTTTCGCCTATCGAGGTTTAATGCACTTATCGAAGGTTGTCTATTCGATTGGTAGATAAGTGAGCCTGACATAGGTACCTCGGTACTTCCTCCCTTCTCTCCACAGATGACAACAGTTGGCAATCTTTGCTCAAACCTTCATCCCCCCCTGGATACATACAAAGTCTCCGGGGTACGTGGTCTTCATGTAACATAATTCGTTGAAATACATCGTACTCAGTCGTCTCTTATACCAAATACCAAAACGCCCCCAAAATCCATTTCCAA